GAAGCATGTTTTTTTTAATTTAATAAAACAGCACATGCACATCATTTTAAAAATCCAACAGAACAGAAAAGCTTACAATGAAAAGCAAGAATCCACTCTCCACCCTTTCCCATACCCAGTTCCATTCCCTAGAGGAAATCCCATCAGTGCACAAATGTTTTTATTTTCTAAGAGAGATTACTTAAATATCTCCAAATAATGTTTATACCATCATTTCTTGATTTATGAATTATAGACAACATTCCTAGAGCTCCTGCTATGAGAGATGAAAATTTAGTTCCCTCAGATCACCTGCTTCTTCCCTCAATAGTGAATTCAGTATTTTTACTTAAATATATTTACACTGTTAGGAGCATGTTTCTTTTCTACTCCTGGCATTTCCTTCCATACACAGGATTTTTCCTTAACATTTCTGGCCTCTTGTCCCACCTGTCATTATTCCTCCCCATGGAGGTACAGTAAATTGCCTGTTTGATGAGTGACAGCCATTGATCCACAATTCTCATTTGGAAAAACAAATCTCCCAAATGCCTTGGACTTAAGTATTTGTTTTCTCCTTTCCTCTCCACCCAGACCAACAAAGGGCACCAGCCTGGCTAAGTGTTTCTCTCTGTTGACTCAGCCTTTCCCTTGGATGCCTCTTCTGAGGTCTGAACTGAAGACGTAGAGAGATAGCAAAAACAAGCTTCAAACCCCAACCTATTCTTTACCAATAATAAAGATAATATTTTATCCTCTTTCTAGTGACTCTTGTCTTTTCATTTGGCTATGAAAAGAATGTTAGTAAAGAATAAGGTCTATTTAAAAGGCTCCTCAAATAACCCAGTATCATTTTCTTCATGTTCCATCAACCACGAACACTTTGAAAAAATGAAGTTGTTATCACTCCTGCCCTTCCCATGACCTCTATGCCAATTCCACCTCCCAGCTGACTGCATTTTGCTTTTGTACTATCAAGGCATTGAAAATATTTGCATTGTTTTAAAAATTAAATATTCCTGGGTTACATAGTTCTAATACATATTTCTGAACTATTAAAATATGGCAGGATTTTCAGGTGCTTATCTAGGACTCAAGCTGACCCTAGCTGTACTAGGCCAGACCTGATTGAGTTTTGGGTGAACTTGTGCACCAGAACATTCAGGCAAGTAAGGCACTGTCTCAGGACAGGCTGATAAGGTGTTCAATGCCTACCAGGGGTCCTCAAACTATGGCCCGCGGGCCACATGCGGCCTGCCGAAAACATTTATCCGGCCCGCTGGGTGTTTTTGCCACTGCTGCCTGTTGCTGAATTTGTTCATAGTTTTTTTTAAACTATAGTCCAACACTCCAATGGTCTGAGGGACAGTGAACTGGCCCCCTGTTTAAAAAGTTTGAGGACCCCCCTAGACTAAAGGCAGGTAAGGTCGGCTAAAACACAGGCCCTAAGAGCCCTACCCACAAAACAAGCCTGCTTCCTAGGCCAGCTCATTTTTTTTTCTAGGATTTGGCACAGTTAAAAATGACTCAGGGCTATTAAAAGTGTTTATAAATACTTTACCCACAATGCAGATGCCACTAGACTAATTCCTCTGCCAGAATTGATTCCCAAAGAGAACTACTTGTCTATTTGCCTAACAGGAGAGCCAAATTGATATTTCAAATATTGTTCTTAAGATTTTGATTTACCATCATATAGTGTCTAAAAGATGTTAAGTGATTATTTTTCCAGTAATATAATTTCCAGTATAGGACTAAAAAAACACATAATGACCAAAGGCAGGTATTTCTACAGTCTCTTATTTCTTTGGTATATATGACATATATTCTATACTAATAAAAGCATAATATGCAAATTGACCAAACGACCAAACAGTAGAACCACTGGACGACCACACTATGACATGCACTGGTGCCAGGCCAGCCAAAGTGGGTGCCATGCGACTGGTTGGGGGGACCCGCCATCGCCCCATGATCACCCTGCAGAGGG